TACAAGTCTGAGCACTGCAGTGAGATACAATTGTGAACTCTGCAGTGAGATACAAGTCTGAGCACTGCAGTGAGATACAATTGTGAACTCTGCAGTGAGATACAAGTCTGAACTCTGCAGTGAGATACAAGTCTGAACACTGCAGTGAGATACAAGTTTGAACACTGCAGTGAGATACAAGTCTGAACACTGCAGTGAGACCTCAAACAACCTATGCCCAGTCAGAACTAAAGCAGAAAAAAACCTCTTGTGACAACATAGGAAGAAAGAAAGCACTACAACTGTGAGAACTGCATCTACAAATGTTTCGTGTTTACCTCGGGGGGTGGGGGCCTTAACACGTCTTGCCCTGGTCCACCTCCCTTATCTTCATAACAAAAACTTGAATGATGATGATGATAACGTAGATCATGATAACGAAGATGATGATAACGAAGATGACGACAACCGTCAAATTAGATGAAAATAATTACAGCATGTGAGGTGGTTGGTAGTCATGTAATATTTTTTTTACAGAGTACGGAACATGCAACATTTTGTTCAGAACACGGACACACACACACACACACAATGTCAGGCCAGTACTCAACTTGCCCCTGTATTATCTATTTTAAGTGTTCACCCTTCTTTCAATACAAGGCCAACTGCCGATTGTCAAATCTCTTAGAGCACAGGTGTCAAACTTAAAGCCAGCGGGCCGCATCCCGTCTGGCAAACAACTATATCCAACCCACGAGAGATTTTTAGATAATGCATCCTGATAATCACCATCATAACACAAAACCTTACTCCAAACATACACAAAATGCAAGTTACACTTAAGTACAAGTTGATAGAAAACGACAAAGAAAAGATGCCGAACATCCAGGTCTGACAAATTGACACTGGAGTGAAAAATTGGCGTGCCAAGATTTGTGCCCTTTTAAATTCATATTTCCGTGGGGAGTTTTTAACCCTATCCGTACACCCTAGGTTGTATTCTTCACTTTTAAAACTTTCAGTATTTCTCCAAAAAATCATTTTGACAGACTGCTATGTACAGCGTACGGATCACATTAACGAGTAAATTTCCTCTTTGGAAAGTGGTGGCACAGAGTTCCCCACGTCGTATGGATACGACAGTAAAACACGATGCACGGATAGGGTTAAAGTTCAGTTGTCCACTGCTCAATGATGTGCTTGTCCAGATTGGCCCACAACATTGCGTGAGTTTGTAGCTAGCCCCCCCCCCCCCGAGATACTGAGTTTGACACCTGTGTCTTCGAGCCACCTCTGCACATGAAAGAACAGAAATAAAACACAAACATACAACAAAACAGCAGCACGCACGGTGGACCTTTGGACAGGACGACTTGTTCCATTTCCCACCAGCCCATTCAATGGAGAAAATTTGCATGATTTCAACGCAACTGCGTGGTTGACCAGTCACAACCGACACTCCCCGCTGGTCACATGATCAGACAGACATAGCAAGCAGTCACACAAACAGTGACATTCTGTACATGTGCATCAAGTGAGAGAAAAACAACAATACACTGTCAAACCCTTACTGTGGCTTCAACGGCAATTTCAATTCAAATTCAACAACAACAAAAAAAAAAGAAAGAAAAAGAAAAGGAAAACATTTTTAAACAAACAAAAAACAAAGAAACAAAAAACCCTGCCTCCAGTAGCCATCCTTAAAGTAGCAAATGAAAAACAAAACCAAGATACCACCAGTATTGGTGAAATTAAGATTTTAAAACAACACGAGGAACAGGACAGAAAAGTGAAGAAAACAAACCGAAGCATTCTATAACAATAAACAAAAATGTGTACAATACTGTCCTCCTCACATCACACAGCACACAGCAAACCTCGACTTCTTTGTCTAAATAACTTGTGCTCCTTATGTAATGCTTTATAAATGGTCGCTTTTAAGCACAATGGGGCTATCCCAAAAAATGCTAAGAAAATCGAAGGTTAAGTTTTTGGATCCTTATTCAGTTTCTTTAAAAGACAAGGAGAATTTTCTCTAAAAACCAAACAAATATACACACCAATAAACCAAACTTCTCCTACAGGTAGGGCAATGTCCATTTTTGGCATAGGTTAAGATTTCTGGAAACCCCCAAAAACCTGGGTCAGCCCGCTTGTCCTTAAAAGCAACCAAATTGTCTCAGACTGTACTGGGTGGTGTTAATTAAAGAGGTGACTGTAGGAGTAGCAAACCCTGCAAAATGTCAGCACAACCCTGACCAAGCCAGTGAGTCAACTATCTCATCTATGTCCAAACTCTTACTCAACTTTCTCTAACCACCAACTCCCATAAAGAACCGCAAATCTTAGGGTAGGAAAGATCTACACCGAGCCTTCTCGGACAAGGGCAAAAAATCTCGGAGGTCCCGTGTGCAAGTTGCGCACGTTAAAAGATCCCTTGGTGGTCTAAAATCGATAAAGAGTAAGCTTCGGCCGCCAGCCGGGCAAAATTCAAAATATCCTACCAACTGAAAATGTTTGGCGTGTCCCGCGCTCAAATAACCTTATGCAGATGCGAGCCCTGTAAGACACTCCCCCCTCCCCCAACCCCCCCAAAAAAACAACCGCAGACTTTTACGTTTACCTCTTCAACTGCGAAAGGTTAGCATCTTGCGGTTTTCTGTAACATTCAATTCTGCAACACTAGCCCCTCCCCAAATAAAAATTGAACGCATTATCTACACACACACACAAATATTCCGATTCAAATAAAATAAAATGTACAAACTTTTTAAAAAATACACAAAATGCAAAAATAAGTGTAACAAAATAAACAAACTGAAAAAAAGTCTGAATTCATTTAAAGGATACATTCTATTTCAAATCAAAAACAACACAAAGACAGGTAGCAATCTCTCACTCCCAAGTACGAGATACAACCAAAAAATATTTCATCGAAGTAACCAATGAAGGGTTCAGATGCAAAAATCATTGGCAGCCATTTTCACATACCAGATGAAAGAAACCCCTTATAAATCACAATTTGTCTTCACAATTACCATCAAGACAACATTTGCCCTTCATGGATAGGAGTCACTCCTTTACATCTGAAACATTTTTAAAAATTCCCAGCAACTAATGATAACTAACCTCCAACATTTCCAGAACTGCAAACAATAAGCAAAAATACAAAGGCAAAGTGTATGACAAACCAATATTTCTCCTGCCATCTCAACTCTTCCAACATTACTACTGTAATAATGAACAATTCGCCATTCCGTGAAACCAATAAGCAAAAACCAGAATATCGCCAGACAGCTGTTCCCATGTACTCAGCCCAAAACTTTTACCAACAAATTTTTATTGCTGTTTCTTAAGCTGTGGTAACGATTGCATGAGCTCAATAAACATTTTACCAGAATTCAAATTCTACATGTTGGGGATAAAAAAAAGACACATACTTCAAACTTGCAAACAGTTTGCAAACCCATTCAGGCCCAGTCAACATCAGGAGATCAGACTACCCAATAACAACAATCATAACTCCATCAAGTGAGACTGGTTCTGGTATGTTTAGTTTTAGTAAGAGTTTTACGACACTTGCAACACAAGGTGGTATAGTGAGGTGAATGTTCTCCCACATTCTTCATTGCCAAATCCTGGTAGGACCAGGAAATTCAGGATAGTCGGCAACCCAGATAATTTTAATACAATTTTTGTTTTTTGTTGTTTTAGTAGAGGTTTTACGGGGCTCGCAACTGCATAAGGTCATATGAGTGCCATACAACTTTTGAAAGCATGAAATAGTTAGGGGCTGTGTTTTTTTCAACTCCCGAAAAATTGTGTTCTCTGGGCTAAGAACAATGGAGCAGCTTGCTGACTATATGACAGGCAAAAAACTACACACATCATGTCAGTAATGATAATGGTCAGTACATACGGTGAGTAATGTCCCTCATCACGCCGGACTTACGTCGACGACGCACAGAGGTAGTTGAAAGTATGAATGAAATCAGTAACAACGTAATATGAAACGATTAAATCTCAAGTGTCAATGTACAGCCAGGGACTGAGAGTGATGACATCGTACACCACTTCAGTTTGATATTTGTGTGGTAAAAAAAAAAAAAAAACAGGAAAAGAAAAAAAAAACAAAAAAAACGTAACTTGCTAGCCACTTATATATGGTTTCTCCGGTATCCTAGTATGGTTCACACCTCAAAAGAACGGTCTGTTCTCCCTTCCCATTTCTTTCCTCCAACAAGGCCCAGAGATTAAGTTGTACGATTTGTGTCTCGGGGTGTAGAACTCACACACTCAAGCCTTTAGGTCTGACTCTATCACAGCTCGACTGTCACTGATGGTACATACTTTCACCTCCTGCACAATTTACATCACTTCCGACATGACCTTCTCCAGCTTCACAACTGGGGTGGTTGGTGGACACTCTACAGTGATTTGCTCCTTCTTTCCAACCATCAAACATATATCATCCATATCTCTCCTTTATGTTTGTGTGTTACTCTCTAGCAACGCCTCAAATCTTCAGCAATTATATGACCAATTGTGCTGAAGGGCAGCAAATAACCGGGTAAAGACAAGAGCGCCACTGGTCACTTCAAGGAGCAGAGCCCACTAGAGCGTCCTCACCACCATCTCCTAGTTTTAGTAAGAGTTTTACGGCACTTGCAACACAATAAGGTCATATAAGTGCCGAAGATTAGAGGTGTTACAAGAGAGTAACAAACACGAAAAAGAAGGAGGGGAGATAAAGACGACAAATGTTTGAAAGGAAAGAAGAAGCAAACCACACCAGAGCACCCGCCAACCACCCACCAACCATCTCCTTCAGAGTCACCAAGTTTACTGTAAAACATTTTTTGCACAATTTGACTTTGCACGCACGCACACACACACACACAAACTCATATAGAAAGCTCACACACACATTAACTCACACAGAAAGCTCACACACACACACACACACACACACACACACACACACACACACACACACACATACACACACATGGCAAAATTCACTTGGTCAGACAATGCCATATTTTCACCATGCCTCCTCCTCCCAAAGCGTACAAGTTTAACAACACTATTAGATTCATATTACTTATTTAAGAGGTGGGACCTACAAAAACAATGCCCATCTCCGATAGGACTGGGCCACTGAGCCAAAAGGGCTGAGAGCTTGGAAAACTCCACAAAACGAAAATTTCAAGAACTCCCAGACTGGGTCTCAAACCAGGGACATCCGCCCACTAGTCCAGCACGACAACCACTGAGCTGACGGAGCGCCCATCCATCCTTATCTTTACAGATAGTGAAACAACAATAGAAATAAGAATTCACAGATGTGGCCCACAATTGTCATGTTCAAAAACAACTGCACGTTAAGCGATAAACTCAACGCCCAGCACTCAACACACTCAAAACTCAAAGGCATCAAAAGGCGTCTCACACACACACACACCCAGTTGCATCCCATCACATATAAGTTTCCAGAAAAAATGGCCTTCAATCCCTTAGATAATCGAAAAACTTTTCACACACAACGATTCAAATCCCATCAACATTTAAATTGGAAGGACTTTGGTAATGAACCACCACCCCAACAAAACAATAAAGAGGAGACCTAACCCTAACCCTACCCCAAACACTATCATTAACCTAAACCCTACCCTACCCCAAACCCTACCCCTCTGTTCTACTCTGTCTCATATAAGTAAAATGGTCGCTCGTTACGGAAGTCCTGCCTTTAAATTTACAGAAAAAACATCCTTCAAGCATAGCTGAGGGACAAATTGAATATTCATAAGAGAAACCAAGTTGAGTTAGGGTTTGCAGAAAACCTTCACTGCCCAATAATGCCCACAGGTGCGCCTGTGTCGGAGAAACTGGAGAGAAATTAGACACACAGCAGCCCTCTATCTTTTCATAGCAGTAAGGTATTTCACAATTCTGCCTCTGAATCTAAACCAGGCAGACTTAGAATAAGCACATAAATTAAGCATCAATGTCTAGTTGAAAGAAGAACCCACCAACAATGAAAACGTAGTATTTTGTCAGCTTTGGAAAATGAAAGCCTTACCAGAAATGGTGAAGAACTGTGTCTACTTCAGCACAAAATTGTTGCTGCTACGCTCTAGTGCAATGTACAGAAATAAGATTTCAACCGCCCCGTACACGCCAGATAGCCTACATCGCGACCTCAAAGCTTTCTTGTCCTGTCTTCATTTTGTTTTATCTTTGAAAATGTGACTTCTTCTTAAGCTCACTTTTTGCTATGACCTGTTTTCACTATCACAAATGGGAGACAGGACAAGAAAGCACAGGTCGCAACATGTAAAACATGAGGCGGCATCGAGTATGCAACAGCTCACAGATAAAATAGTAAGGAAGATTATAAACATAACTGTTGGGCATTGACATCATTCTCCAATAGTTCAGGGCTGAGAAGTAAAGCTACGAGTTACACTTAAGTACAAGTTGACAGAAGAAAAAAAAAAACCCATTAAGAGCAGCTACAACCGGCTTTTTGGTCATCATCGTAGACACTCTCTCAAGTACAGAGGTCAAAGGACAATCGCCTTAAACCCAATCATCTCTCCTCCTGTCTGGCAGGAACAAACACAGTCCAGATTCCAAGCACAGAGGGTCATCACCTAAGACCAAAACTTCAATATTCCTGATGTTCCTAAAGTTCCCCCCTCCAATAAACCAGGGTTCTCGGGCCAAGCCTACTGTACCGCACAAACCAGCCATTTCTTTATCATTAAGGAGATTTATCACATTCATATTGTCCAACATCTAATAAAGGGGTGTAAAAGAACTTCATGAATTAATTGATTGCATGAAAGGAAAAAAAAAGTCATTAAAAAAAAAAAAATACACAAAAAAAGTAGAAAGTCCCAACATTTTCACAAAACAAGAATTGTGATTTAAGAAAAAAGGACTTTTCCCGTCAGGGTAAGCAAAAATTTCACCAGTGACAAAATTGGAGAAAGAACAATATACACAGGCCTCGAAGAAGACAAAGCTGGCAAAAATAAATATTCGGATAGTTTGAGAAAAGCCATGGCTACTTTTCCCTCTGTAACGCAATCTTTCCTCATGTATCACAATATCTACTGAGAGAAAATGAGAACAATTTTCCATAATATTTTGCAGAGTACGATGATTGACTTGCCACGGACTCCAACCCCCCCCCCCCCCAGAGATTCGGTTCATATGTACTAGAGCAAAGCAAAACATTACCTGTGGGACTACACTAGTGATCCCATGAGTCACGGAGATAATAAATCACATATTGCTTTCGTCGATCATGCCAGTAACCTGCATCCAATGGCATCACCTGTCTGTTTTTAAAAAGTGAGCGGTGGGGGGGTGTGGGGGTGTGAGGGCGCGCTTAGAGTACATGATAACGCGGCAGCTTCTTCAAGTTAGGCCACCCTTTCACAAGGCCAGAAATAGTGCAGGTACACGTACATCATTATGCAAAGCAAGTGTCGCTGTCGCCAACCGTCAGCCACAGGCAGAAATTCAGAATCAAGAACAGATAAACAATTATCAAAACTCTGATCACGTCGTCTTCCTCTTCCTCTTCTTCTTCTTCTTTCTTCTTTGAGAGAGAGATGGCAAGTCGATGATGAAACGCTGAACGTTGTTATCCCCGGTGACAACCCATCAACGTTTTCCCTTCGCCTGGCCGTCGGCAGCCATCCTGCGGAACTTTGAGCCGTCGGTGGTTCCCACCGGCACCGGAAGTCCAGAGCCCTTAAAACTAATCCTGCCGCCCGAGGAGGGCGTGGCCAGTCGGTCGCTGACCCTGCTGTCCCCGACAACGGCGTCGTGAGATTCCGAGCCTTTGGTGGCCAGAGAGAGGCGGACCGGCAGACGCTCCTTGCCGCGGCCTGAGTGACCTCTCACGTCTAGAAATGTGAAGAGTGGGGAGAGGAGGGGGGAAGGGGGTGGGGGGGAGTTGTTGGTTTGGTTCAGTCAAGGAGAAGAAGTTTTTTTGTTGAGTTGGAGTACAAGTTTTACGACACTTTCAACACTAACAGGTCATATCATCGCCATCATTCACCACTGTCGTATGTCAAAATACAAAGTTTTTCGGAGAAGCAAGGAACTGTTTTCTTTTGCTCAAGAATCTATCTTCATACAAAATATATTTAATTCCACCAAATGTGTTACTATTTTAAGAAGAGGAGAGAGACTAGATGCACCTCATCAAACGCTACAACACACTTGAGAAAAAGTTGATTTTCCTTTGTTCCAAACTTTGACATACTACAACACTGAATGAAGGCCACGATATAGGTGGCAAAGATTTCAGGTGTTACTAGAGAGTAACGTACACAGAAACGGAGGAGGAGAGATAAGGACGACAGATGTTTGATAGGAAAGGAGGAGCAAAGCACACACAGCAGAGCACCTGCAAACCACCCACCAAAAAGAATAAGAAGCAAAAGGACACAACACAGGTCACAGAGCGGCAGACCACCAACAAAACAAGTGGACAGCAAGTTTTGAGACAAAGTCACAAAGTCACAGTCTAGACATGGGAAATTTGTGCCAACTTTGAGATGGGCTGCTACTTAACCCCTCGAGACCCAGCCCAACCCCACCACCCCCCATCCCCCAACACCCACCCCACCCCCTCCCCCTCCCTCTGATTTCGCTATACCTCAGAGTCCCCAAAGCCAGATCTGGATGGAAATATGGTGATCCCATCCTACCCTCTTTGTTTTTAACTCACTCAAAACAGACCTTTCATTTTGAAAATCATACTTAAGTGGAAGGATAGCTTGTGAACAAAGAACGGTGACTCTTGCTGATTTTAAAGTTGATATAAAAACCCCAGAACCAAAGACACCACCATACATTTCTGACAATCATCGAGAGGAGCTCGTTTTTTGTTTTAGTAAAGGTTTTACGGTGCTCGCAACTGCATAAGGTCATATGAGCGCCAGAAGATTAGAGGTGTTACAAGAGAGTAACAAACATAAAAAAGAAGGAGGGGAGATAAGGACGACAGATGTTTGATAGGAAAGACGGAGCAAACCACACCAGAGCACCCACCAACCACCCACCGAGAGGAGCTTACTACTTGCTTCAAACATTTATTTTCTTTTCTCCTGCTTTGTGCTTTGAATAGTGATTCTGATTTTCTTAAATAATAATAATAATATTAACAATGTAGATCATTTTTACCACACCTACTCTGGTGTGCACACAACTCTAGACACTTCATTAACCCTTCCAGCCCCAGCCATTTGTGTGCACTCCCTAACCCCAGTCCCAGCCAATACAGCAGTATTTCAGAAAAAGAGGCATTCATTCTAAAAAGTGATGTAGTATCTTTGTAATGTAGCTTTGATAAAAACATATACCAATTTTTAAAGATAAATGAACAAGTAATAAGAAAATTAAAGTTTAATCAAGTTTGCTCATTTAAAAAAATGCGCGAATTTGGTACCCCCCGAAACTGAAAATATACGCGCTTGGGACGGAGGGAGGTACAAGCGCTGCTGAAAATATACGCGCTTGGGGCTGGAAGGGTTAAATACAGGCTTGCAAACTTTTTCCAAGGCCAATCAGGGACACCCAAAGTTAAAAACACCTGACTATGTAGCAATGAACAAAACTACGTCAAGAGGGACTTGTTTGGATGTTGCATAGGTTGCAAGCCTCTCAAACTCTCAAATTTCCGATTGCCCAACCTTGGAGTCCCAGGAAATGCGGGACAGTTGGCCGGCCTGTGAAGACATCAATGTCTGACTGTCTGAACGTGTGTCTTATCTGCGCCGACTATAAAATGCTCTGATAAATGATACCCCAAAAAAAGAATTTAAGGTCCATATATAAAACTCACACTTGATACGCCTTAACTGTATCTACAGTTTAAGTACAAAATATTCCTAGAACTTTTTGAATAAGTTAACAATTTAACAATTTTCTTCCTCATAACTCTCCTTCCCCCCGCCCCCCCTCCACCCCCCCAACATAATTTCCCACACGTACCTTAAAAATAGGGGGGGGGGGGGGGGTGGTTAATGTGGTTAATAATTGTTGGGTGCTTTTAATTTCTGAATTCTTTTTCGAGGACTCTACTAATTATTTCACCAGTCCTTTCCTGGGAAGTCCCATACGATTTCTCTCTCTATCTCTGCGTTCAGCTAGAGCTGACTCACTTCTACAAAACAAGAAAACCCAATGAGTTGCTAGCTGTTAATTCCCAGTCACGCTTGTTATGATGATTAATTTCTCGACAAAACAATGTACCTATAATGGCTACCGTTCTCCCCACCACACCCTTTAGACAGCAACACAGACACACAGACTCGCAGTCACAGTTGCTAAAAAAGTAAGTGTATGGGTTTAACGCCCCTATCAACACCATTATTTAACTTATTTAAGAGGCAGGACCTCCAAATTCTATGGGTTTAACACCCTTATCAATACTACATTGTATTATTTAAGTTATTTAAGAGGCAGGACCTCCAAATTCAGCGCCCATCTCCAAAAGGCCCATCACAGCTACTGACACCGCCCTTCAGAATTAAATTCTCTACAAAAGACAGCGAGTTCATCCCATCACTCAATCAATAACTACGGCTACTTTATGAGCTTCCACATTCCGCGGATTATTTTTCTCCTTGCTCCCCTCTAACCATCAAAACCACCCAGCAGAGCGCGACTCACACTACGCGACAGCTGTGCTGACCCACTTACTCATAGATTTCCCCCCAATGCGCGCATGTGTGTGTGTGTGTATTGTACGCGTATACAATGACTGAGAATATTGACAGTCCACACACACACACACACACACACACACACACTAACTAACAAACGTACACAAACTAAACGTTGACAAAGCAAACACTGTTACTACCCCCCACAGCACCCATTGACAGACCACACACACACACACACACACACACACAGTTGCCTTTCAAAGGCCTATAGAAACTCTAGCAGGAATGTGGCGAAACAATGTCTAAACAGAGACTACAGAGTGTCTAGACTTAGAGCAAATACACCAATACAATACGAACAATCTGCTGAATACACATAAAATATATAATATACGCATCTGTGAGTGTGTATGCATGCGTGTCTGTATATCTGTCCGCGGGAGCGCGTGCAGTTGAGTGCGTGTATGCGAGGTGCTCATACCATACAGTTTATTTAGATATACTCATATATTTGTGTATATATAATTATACATAATATATATGAATGTGTGTGTGCGTGTCTGCGCACGCGCCTGTGTGAGCATGTGCGTGAGTGCGTGTGTGGGTGTGTGCGTGGGTGTGTGGGTGTGTGCGCGCGTGTGTGCGTGTGTGTGTGAGTGTGTGTGTGCGTGTGAGTGTGTGTGTGTGTATGTGTGCGGTACAGTGCCAACCTGTCCAAAGCGGTCACCCACTGACAATGAGAATAGTGGTGTTGTCTTAGACAGGTAGATGTCTTGGGCACTGCATTAAGTAAATATTAAAACGCAACGGGTAAGAGGGAGGCAGTCGTTTGTACAGGTAATCGTTATGGACAGGTGGCTGTTACTGTTAGAGGAAGTTCGACTGCACTTACAATAGAGGGGGTCAAAACATAAAGGACGCAAAACGGTTGACCTTTTCAGCTCAACCTATCAATTTAAACAAGAAGAGGTAAGCATCTAACTAAACCATCTCGCAATGAATGCAGAAACCAGTCAGACAATAGATTCTCATCAACTTCTGTCGCTCCCTGCCTTTGTCTCTCTCTCTCTCTCTCTCTCTCTCTCTCTCTCTCTCTCTCTCTCTCTGTCTGTCTCTCTCCGGCACCCGGCACCCT